AAAAAAAAAAAAAAAAAAATATCACTCACCACACTATTATAAATAAGAAAATGGAATAATACATCATGGACAAAGATATAAATATATTGTTACAGTTCTCATAATTTTACTTTGGATTATTGAGACGAAGGTTGGAAGCTTCTCATCTGATTTAATGTCGTGGACAGGGCGGAGCCGGGATTCAAAATTTTGGGCGAAATTTATTTTAACAAAAATTTTCATGTCATAAATAATCAAAAGTTCTTGTATGAGACATTCTAATCGCCATTAGGTCGACTCATATACATTTTTCACAAAAATCCACATTTATGCAATGAAATGTCGTACTTTTATTTATGTTATTTTTAGTGTGTGACTGCTAGGTCAAAAGCAAGTCAATTATTTAAGAAAATATAACTGTCTAACTGTTATATCCGTCTGACAATAGCAAAGTCTTACTGGTAAATTATAAGTATGACGGACTATAAACCTAAATTTATTATTTATTATCCACCAACCAATATTGCTTAATCTAATAAAAACAAACTATTACTTAACACATATCAACAAACATTCAAATTTTACTACAATTATATTATTTATATTTAATGTCCTTCTAATAAAATAATATATTTATTGCATATTTAGTTACACAAAGTTATTTTTATTATTTGCACAAAAAGATCTTTTTAGTAGATACAAATATAATTGACAAATCAATATTTTGTAGGTATCTTGGCATCATCTTCCTACAATGGATGAGATCATGATGGTGATAAGATATTGGTTCCTCGGATGATGCTTACCTCTTCCGATATGAGAATACCTTTCAAGTTCCAGAGACAACAATTCTCACTTATGGTTTCTTATAATGCTATGACGATAAATAAGAGTCAATGTCAATCTTTATCGCACGTTGGTCTGATGAGTCTGTTTTCCGCATTGTGAATCATTTGGGTTTGAATATTAATATATAGTGATTATGATTTGTCAAAAAACCAAAAAAAAAAAGAAAATAAAAAATAAAATAAAAACAAAAAAATATTGTGTACAATAAAGTGTTTAATAATATATAAATCATTTTGTTTTCACTTTTATTTCCAAACATATAAACAACCGTATGGTTGTGTATTACTATAATTGCATATATATGAATTATGATGTTAATTTATATCACCTCATTACTAACATAGCATAACCAATGAATATTATTTTTAATGCATCGCACTGACTATGCGCTAGTTGAATATTGTCGACTAATTTTTGTTGTATCAAATTATTGATATTCAATTTGATATTGATATGGACCAACAAATCTTGCATATCCTATTAATTCAGGCATGCAACACTCTTATTCTCGTTTATTTTGTTTATCACGATATTTTGCACACCTACAACAAACAAATAAAAATGAGATGAAATAAAATTTTTACAAAGACGAAATAATTATTTTGTAGGGTGAGCCTACATTAGCTACTTGGGTCACCCTTTAAATGTCATAGAGGATTGTAGGCTTTGGTTTTCTTGATCATCAAAGTACTTACATAAAACATAATCAAATATAATCAATCAAGAATCATCTTGTTCGTTTTCTCTTTTAAACGATTCGATATGATTCATCCCGATTCTTATGGTTTGTATCACAATTAGTCACATTTTGTGGTTAATTTTCAATAATTTGCATCAATACTTACCTTAAATAGCATAGTCACATATGCCATACACGCACATGCCATGAATCTTACACATGTTATTACAAGATCCACAGTGCCTACTATCCCTATATGTATTCACACACTCCCCCTTGCAACAAACTTGCCCGAACGCGCACTTTTTGCCGCACGCGCCACAGTTTCTAGCATCCGAGCCAGTCTCAACACACCTATAGTTGCAACAAGTCCCTTTTCCACTTCCGCGGCGGCATGCCCGACTATCTTGTCCGCACAAACGAGCCGTTCGTGGGCTAGTGCTTTCAACTTGTAATAGAGAAAGAAACGGGCCGGGGGCCCTACTGGTCGGTAACGGGTTTCTATCGGGAGGCCCTGGTTCGGAGTAAATCGGTTCGGGTGTTAGGGTTGTAATGGTTATTATGGTGAGGAAGAGGATTGTTTTGATCACCCTCATGGTTATTGAAGGTGGAGAGATTATGGTTGTGGTTTGTGTTTTGTAGGGAGTATAATGTTATGTTTTTGATATATGTAAGTAGGGAACGGTAAAGAGATGGGTGGCTTTGATTCTTTTGAATTGGAAGAAATTAATTTTAAGATGTGAAGAGGACATCAAGTTTAATTAGGGTGTTAATAGGGTAGTTAAGGAGCACAAGTTGACTTATACTCATATAATTAAGAGAAATGTTACAGTCCCGTCGTTACGGAATCATTTCGTCGGGATTTGTAACCGTTAGATCATCATGTGATCATCGTCGAAAGTTGATCTAACGGTTACAAACCCACTAAAGGTTAATATTAAAGAAACATGTCCTTAAGTGGGTTCACAATGAAGAAGTGAATATGAATTAACATTGTACCCAAAAAAAAAAAATATGAATTAACACAAGTACCTATATATAGGCGTGTGTACCTCACAAAAATAACACATTAAGTGATACTTTATGACATTAATTGGCTATCAAGTGGTAATTTAAAAGTCTACATTCAACTTGTATGATCCTCCACCAAGTGGCTGGGTAATTAACAAATTCTTTGGAAATTGTTAATTTGTAATTAATGGAAACCTTATACTAATATTATCTTCCAAGATTCCATGGGAGGTATTGAAATAATAAGGCTCATCTTGTGTTAAACCGATATATTATTTTCATAAACGATTAATATTTTATTAAAAAAATATCATACTTTAAAAATCAACAAAAAATATAGAAGTATGACATCTGATAGTATAAATATATAAATCTATTCAAATAATATGACAAATCGACCAGCCTAATGATAAAGCTTGTTCCGCACAAGGGCTTGTGTGGTAAAACATATTATGATACCTGCAAGCTTATAAATGTCAATTTTAATTAAAGAATTTGCAGAGATTTATCATTAAAAAAAAAAAAACATGTGATTAATATATGCAACACTAAAATAATTCCCATTTTATTCATTTTTCTCAGTTTGTTTTTCTCAAAGTCCATTACATCTACTCATACATTATTCATCACCATAAAACTTGCCTCTCCATATGTATGTGTCAACTCTTCTTTGTGTAATTTAAAAAAGAAAAAAAAAAAGTCAAGGACTTTAGTCAACTCACCAACTACAAACTATTCCTTCCAACCTTCGAGGAGAGCTCGAAATCAACTTATTCAAGGCTATCCTCAGCCTCCTCGAACCTGGGCCGGGCCTCAAAGTCCCGTAACGGTCCCACTTCAAACCCGCGCACTTATTTCCCGACAAACTATCTTTGTCATCAGAACACCAACCTCCAAACGCAAATTGCCGAGGCCCCCTATTGAGTAGCTGTCGGTCGATCCTTCCAAGAACTGGGTCGTTTTGCTTGAATTTGCGGGCAAAGGGCCGATTGCTCGAGACCATTCTTCTGTAGTCTCGAAGGCTGAGCGTGCGTGGGTGTTGTTTCGGGGGATTGTCCCACGATATGTAGTGAAGGTCCGAGTTGACGACGGTTGTGCCCTTGAACTCGTCCGAGTTGCATATGAGCGTTTGGAAATAGAACTCGGGTGACGAGACGAAGTTGGTGTAATAGAGGAGGAGGGTTCGCGGGAGGTTGTCCCACCCGACTATCGTGTACTCGGCGAACGATCTCGATAAGACCGTCCATGCAGATCCTAAGAAAAGAACGTAGAAAATCGATTTTCAGGATGTTCTCAATTTTGCGTGAGCTTTGCACAAACCCAAAAAAATTAGAAAATCGAGTTTGCAGAAAAATTTAAATAACAACTGAACTACACAGTGAACACATAGAAAATGGACCGAAAATTTTCTACACAAAAATAACTTAACCAAACCACACTGAATTGCACGAATTCGACTCGGTTTAGTGATTTTCAACTCGATTTCGCGCTACCCTATTCCACAAAAAGAAAAAAATTTTAACACAAATAATAAACGAATTGAAGATCACAGTCCGACTAGGTTATCTGACTATTTGTGTATACATTTGGATGTGGTTCATTCAAAACTTTAATTGCACGATCTGAAAACTCGAAACGAATTAAACTATGCATTGACCACATAAAAGTTGAATAGAAATTGAACCAAAAAGTTTATTCACTTAAAATAATCGAACCAAACCACATCAAATTGCGCAATTTATTGATTTTCAACTCGATTTCGCTCGACCATATTCCTATGAAGAAAAGTTTATTTATGTATCTGTGTGATGTTGGGCCATCATCGTGAGCTTTGTCCATTATTCGGGTTGTCCATTATCAGGTGGAGTATTCGTTTGGGATTGCTTTTTTAGACTCGAAAATAATGGTGCAGTTAATGACTTTTGAAGAATTTTTAATACTTTTAAAATCCTGGAGGTATTCATTTAAGATTTTAAATAGTCTTACAAAATCATGAGTTATCTAGCTTCTTTGAAACTAAGATTTTTTAATATTTGCTAGGATTTTAAAAGAAAAACCTATATACGAAATCTCTGTCCAATGTCCAAATTCCACTTCTGCTTATGATTCATAGGATTCTTCATAAATCTAAAAATCATAAAAAGTTTCAAATCTTTTAAAAAGTTTTAAAATGTCATCCAAAATCTCAAACGGATACGCTACTCATAAGAGAGCTGATACCTAAAGTGTAGGGAGCTCAACTACGCTATTGGGCTTTAAGTTTATACAGTAAAATATTAGCAGCCCAACAAACCTAATGGTATTAGGCTTACTTGAAGAAATAGTCCACGATAAGTGTATGTGAACGCGTGTTTGAAAGCCCTTAATCCTATGAAAGCACGTGGAGGACCATAGGGGTAAATGGGCTGAAGCCATAACCAACTAAACAAGTGCACTACAATTTTTTTTTTATTCTCTTTAGATTTTTTGAAATTTAAATAGAGGAATTTGCATCCTCCATTTAAACGATCAAAAAATATTACATAATTCCATCCCTTATATAATTACTAGTGTACACCCCGTGCGATGCACGGGAACAATATTAAATTAACAATATTATAAATAAATCTCGAGTTTGACACTCAATGGCGGAAGTGGAAATTACTATTGATCCTATTTAAAAAGAGGAAGAAAAAAATAATAATTATAAATTAAAGAGGAGAATAAACAATACTTAATAATTATAAA